AGCTGCTTCTTAGGCTGCCTTTTATCCATTTCGGATGTAGAATTTTAATTTTAATTGCTGTTGTAAGCTATTTTGAGCGCAGTGGGAACGGAGCTCTACTCTCCCACGTCCAGCTCGTTCCCTGGTCAGGACACGCCCCCCCATATATCTCTTCTAATCCCTACTTTTCACCTTGTATGTCTCTTACCCACTGTTACTTTTTTTCTTTCTTAATTCCGCTTACCTCTTGTAGGTCTTAACTCTCTTAACCATTTTTATGCCACTATGCATAGGTACACAGTCTCATGCAATGAAACACACAGTCACATGCACACCTAGACACACAGTATCAGTCACACACACAGTAACAGTCATATACACACTATCAGTCACGTACAGTCACACACCGTCCTTATGATATTAATTTTATTGTTTATCAAGAACAATACCTTATGGGACAGACTCACAAAAAGGTAAACAATGGGGAGTGTAAAATCCTTTATTATCCTCAGTGGCTAGTTTCCTAAATCGGCGGAGTACATTGATAGACTCTACCTTGTTCAAAAATATTTGTCTCTTTAAAAAACAACTCTTTCCTTCTCTCTCATTCCTCATAAAACCACTTCAGCAAGTTTTGTTGCAGCATTATCTAAAAATGTTTACTTAGTGAGTCATCCTGACACAAGAATTCCTACACAAGTGTCTCCAGATTTCATGTGATAATGAGTCGGTTTCTTGATTTTGTTCTGTGTATATAAAATCTAGAATATAGTTTTATGAGTAGGGGTGTGAGCCGTGTTTGCATTGATCTCGTGTTAGCCATCTGGATTAAAGTTCTCCAGGAACTGGAGTTATTAATGGTGGGGTTGACACCTTTCTTAGGAAAAAGTATTAATTTGCATAATTATATATACATGACATCACAGGGCATGACATCACCAGATGTTACGAAACATCACAGGGAGTGACAAAAAAAAGGGGGGGGGGGAAATTGGAAGAGGAAAAATTACGGAATCACTAAAAAAATAAAATATGTACAGCGTTTGTACTATGTCTGATAGTGTGTGCAGCATTGTATGTGTGTAGCGGTGTGTGTCAGTGTGTGCATACTGTGTCTATTGTGTATAGCAGTGTGTGTCGTGTGTTTTCTCTCTGAATCCTATGAACACACAATGAGACAATATACACACACTCAGTCTGTCAATGTGTACATACTGATTGTGTGTAGTATTGTGCTGTGTTTATACTGTATATAGCAGTGTGTGTCATTGTGTGTTTTCTCTCTGAACCCTTTAAACACACACTGAGACACAATATACACACCCTCTGTCTGTCATTGTGTTTATACTTTGTCTAAGTGTGTGTATAGCAGTGCATGTATACTGTGGCTGAGTGTGTGTCAGTGTGCATACTGTGAGTGTGTGTTGCAGTGTGTGTCATTGGGTGCATACTGTTTCTGAGTGAGTGTGTTACTGTGTGTATAGGGCAATGTGTGTGCCTATGTATGATAAAGGTGGATATTCTGGTTTTATTTCTCTCACTTCTTTCCCAGAATCCAGTCAAAGAAAAATACCGGCCTCTGCATTGCTGGTATTTTTACAAAAAGATGAGAAAATGTTTGATCCTTTAAAAAGAAATTCCAGGCCCCTGAAGTACTGAAATGCTTTATGTGTGAGAAGTATGTCCACTTTTTTATTTTACAAAAAGAGCAGATTTCAATAAAAATTTACACTTTTATAAATTATACTGGTTACACCCACCTGGCTGTCAGTCAGACAACAGGTCCTGTTACTTCCGGGTTTGGCTAGGTCAGTGGAGTTAAACTCAAGGGGCAGCAATTGCTCAGAGCACCTGCATTGCAAAGGCTTCTCATTGAGCTGCATTGGGAAGTCTGTGACTGGAAGAAGGGGAAGATTTACATATGCAGCAGAGAAGAGAACTGCAGCTTTTGCAAGCTGTTTTTATATAAACCCCATGGGAGAAAAATGCATAATTAAATAAAAGACTGTGTCCTATTTTCAAAAACAAAAACAAACAAAAAAAAAACCCAGTAAATAAACATCCCACGGTTTGTTTCATCATTGATACACCTCTTATTATAGCAATTTATAAACAGAATTAAAGGGGACAGTGATCTTGGAGCTGCTGTGTAAATATTGGCTTTGCTAAATATATCCTTTTACAATTATAACAATATGAAAACATTTACTATATCTGTGTATATTAGTTACTGGTCTGCAAGTGTTTGAGGGTGCGGTCTGATTAGATACACTAGGCCAGGGGTAGGCAACCTTTGCACTTCAGATATTGCGGACTACATCTCCTTTAATGCTCTTACAGCCATAATGCTTTTCTTTTTTAAGGACGGCCATAGAAGACAAGTTGGTTTGGTTTACTGAAGAGGATCTTTTTATTTTCGAAGTTTCCACCAGTTTTCGGTTCTGGTTTATCCTTTTCCTTCCTGTGTTCACATTCACAGCTATTATAAATGCGAGTTTTGCAAAAATATCAAGCTGAAAATCGATCCCAAAGCCATGGGACGGAAAACAAAGAAACAGAAGCCAGACAAGCCCAAATCGGGACCCGACATCGGAGACTTATTCCGCCAGGCACAAGACTTACAAGGGGCCAAGATGGCCGCCAACACGGCAGGGAACTCAGACTCATCGGACGAACAGAGTCTAGATGAGTACACCAGCGGAATGTTCACCCTGCTGACTCAACTGCCTGCACCCAAAAAGCAACCTGAACCGGTAACTACAGACACGCTGAGAACAAAGTTGGGTGACCTGCAGCGGGTGCTCCAGGCAGACGTTGCGCAGCTCCGGGCGGAGGTGACAGGCCCAAACAGTCTGTGTGGAGCCGTTGAGGCCCACACAGACAGACAGGCCCAGGAAATGAAGGATCTACGTAACGAGCTACAGGCACTCAAGAAGCATCAAGCAACAACAGACCATCGATTTGCAGCCCTTGAGGACCAAAGACGCCGCAACAACCTCAAGATTCGGGGTGTCCCAGACGACATTCCGACGGAGGAGCTCCCACATCTGATGAGGAGGCTCGCGGGAGCACTACTGAAGCCACAACAACCGAAAGCCTTGAGCTTTGAGGCGATCTTCAGACTCCCTAAACCGAGGAAGGCCCCACACGCGGCCTCCAGAGATCTGGTGGTGAGGTTCCGATCCAGAACAGAAAAAGCGGCTATACTCATGGCCCTACAGGGGAAGACGCAACTCAGTTTGGAAAACGCCAACCTTACCTTTTTCTCCGACTTGTCTGGAGACACCATGCAATGGCGCAGATCCCTAGAACCATTCACGACACTCCTGAGGTAAAACGACATCACCTACAGATGGCGCACACCAAGGGCCCTACAGGTCCTGAAAAACAACCAGATTCACACGGTCAAAGACCTACTGGAGGCTGAGCAGCTACTGCCAACACTTGGTCTGCCAGAGAACTCTCTCACGCCAGCAGTCCCGGCGGGCGCAAACAGTATAAAGCACCGATGGGACCCATCAAAGATCACGCCATTCATGCCTATAACAAGGCAACCAAACAACCCTGCAATGGCCCCATCCTGAGCGGAGACGCACGGGGCACCACGCGGCTCTATACTATCCCAGGAGGTGCGGTGACAGCGAACCACAGCCGCTGCTGCTCAACGCTACACTTTATTTTTCTTGGTTTCCAGTTTTCTTAGTTCCTATTGACTTTTACTTTTATACCTGGCTGCATTGTGCTCCTGGATGCTCTGGAGACCGTGCCAAATCGGGGTCCACTCAAGCCCATTACGCAAGACCTTTGACAGCTCGGTGAGATGGACTCATAAGGGACCTCACAAGGACTCACGGTAACTCCCTCAGATGCCCCGGTGCGCTCGGCTGTGCTGAGACAGCCAATACCCCGCACCCAGAGACTTGTAGTCCACCATGCAGGCCAGCCCGTGAGGACCCCCGATGGGGATCACAGTTTATAACGGCGTTTTGAACGCACACTTGTTTTTCTATGTTCATATTAATAATGATAGAATGAGACAACCCTGACCGCACAACACGGCATGCAAGCCCAAATAGGCACAAAACATGCCATAGGGTACTGGTTTCTACACCTGGTGTACAGGTGGCCCGGTGGGGCACCGACTAACACTCATTAGCCCATTTACTTACGGCGTGACCTATCTGGGAGATGCAAATTGCCTGGCCACTACTATGAGGCATAACATGCCATCACAAAACCCGCATTGACACGGCTAAGCTGACACAGCCAATCACAACTCACTTAACCCTACCTAGACAGTATAGCGGCCTAGCCGAGCATGAGTTACTCCTCAAGGAACCGACACACAATATACCTAAGTGCTACTACTAAGCCGACCACTACTACACGGTAACCAATAATATTGCACTTAACTCATGGTAACGTAAGCCACACCAACGCAGTTAAAGATACTCACTCACTACTATTCTAACACTAGAAACGTTTAGTTATCCTTGTTATCTATAAATAATATAAAAATGTGCTCACTTCTATGCCACAGTCTAACCTCTGCAATTCATGGATCACGCTGTTGTGGCGTGTGTTGCTTATTTGTAATACCCTGCACAACTAAAATGAAGAATTAAAAAACAAAAACAAAAACAAAAAACAACCAATTAATCACATAGGAAATGTAATAATAAGAATTTAAAATTCCCCTTTGACATCATATCAATTACATTTTCATGTGTCTTCAACAGCATATGTTGGCTAAAAGTTACCAATGTGAATAGCAACGTTCATTATTTATAAAATTCTCACCAAGATTGCACATATTTTTAAGTCTAGTGTAGTTTCGCTATTTTGTTGGCTACCCTAAATCCTACTACTCCTGTAGATGTTTTTCCTTATAATGGTTAAGCCCTGCTCCTTGAAGCCATGTGACATCACTGGTAGTGATGTCCCGAACGGTTCGAACGGTTCGCGAACGGTTCGCCACGGACTCATCATTGAGTAAACTTTGACCCTGTACCTCACAATCAGCAGACACATTCCAGCCAATCAGCAGCAGACCCTCCCTCCCAGACCCTCCCACCTCCTGGACAGCATCCATTTTGAAGCTGCATTCTTAGTGAGCTGTCCAGGAGGTGGGAGGGTGTAGGAGGGAGGGTCTGCTGCTGATTGGCTGGAATGTGTCTGCTGACTGTGAGGTACAGGGTCAAAATTTACTCAATGATGAGTCCGCGGTGAACCGTTCGGGACATCACTAATCACTGGGTGTATATGTCTGACAATTCATGTCACTGGATGACTCATGTCACCCGGTGCCCATTATAGGTGCTGGGTGTGTATCATGTTATTTGTGGAATATCTTGTGTCGTCCCCTGTCTGGCTATTTGGCCTGTGTAGCACCACCTATTTGTTGCAACAATCATGTGCACTACTTGAATGGCAAGGCTAGTTAATTTGCTTATTCAGGTAGATTTGCATATTATGGTTTATGCAGGCGGTAGACATATTTCTTGTTAGTCTTTGTCTCCCCCACACCTTTATAAAAATTGTGTTGCATTATTATCAGTGCCTGTATAATTCCCCATTTGAATTTGTTGTACGGATCGGATTGAGTGGGTCACCATAAAGTATAATGTAATGCGGATAGGGACTAGTCCTTATTGAAAATAAAGTATTGTGTGATAGTTCCCAATGGAACTGTCTGGTTTGTTCAGGGAATCCTGTAGCAGAGGTTTCAGACCTGCTTGCTGGCTGCGCTATTCTCCCGGGGACTTATTAAGAAAGTACTAGTACTGAGAGCCACAAATGTCTTTGTAAAGGCAGTAGTTGGAACCAGTACAAGAACAGGGGTCAATACCTGCCTGGGTGAAGCAGGATGGGCAGACAGGTCGACACCTCCCTGGGAGAAGGAGGACGGGCAGATGGGTCTATACCTGCCTGGGAGGACAATCCCTCCCAAAGACTAGCCCAGCTGGGATAGCTGTAGCTGCTGGCTTGACCCCTGGTCTTGGTAACTGTTATCGCTGGTAGAACCACATCCCTAGTTGCATTTTGTCACTTAGCAGTCATAGTAATTTCATCAAAAGTATAAACCTCACACGTCAGGGAGAAAATACTATGGGGTGCAAAATATCTTCGACCCTTTCCCACCAATCTTATTTTGCAATCACCATGACTAGCCAACAAGCGACTCGATTGTGCCAGGAAACCCTCCAGGCTGTCTGTCTGACAGCCAGGAAGCATTACTAAAGGCATTTATAAAAGTACAGATTGTTCTATAAAACAAGCCAAAGGGCACATGCTGTTAATCCCTAAAGCACTCTAACTTTCTGGAGGTGTGATTAGGGTGGGATCAGTCTGATGTACAAAAATGGTTCTCTCTTAAATGGATATATGTGAGCCAAAACTTGTTTGAGACCAGAGCGGGAACTACCCAAAGGGCAAGCTTTATTTGCATCAATGCAGAACGCACTTTACCTACACTAATAAAGTATTGTTAATTACATCTTTCATATGAATTGGTATCTTTAATGGCTAACATGGAACAGGAAATTTATATTTTATTTTACAGTTTGTATCCTTTCATGATTACAACTTTAAAAAAAATGAATCGTAATATTTAAAGGACCACTATAGTGCCAGGAAAACATACTCGTTTTCCTGGCACTATAGTGCACTGAGGGTGCCCCCACCCTCATGGTCCCCCTCCCGCCCGGCTCTGGAAGGGGGAAAAGGGGTTAAACTTACCTTTTTCCAGCGCTGGGCGGAGAGCTCTCTGCCTCCTCTCCTCCTCAGATCCACCCCGTCGGCTGGCTGCGCGCGCATTCAGCCAGTCACATAGGAAAGCATTCTCAATGCTTTCCTATGGACGCTGGCGTGCTCTCACTTGCCCCCTCTCAGCCCCCTTAAAAGGAATTAAAACTCACCTTATTTCCAGTGCCGCGTGGGTCCGCCAGCGCTGGCCCCACCCTCGATCCGCCCCCTTGATGACATCAGCAGAAATGCTGATTTTTTTTTCCATAGCATTGGATTAGCTAAAATCTAAGCTTGGACTTTGTCACTGAAACTGCTATGTTTATGAAAAAATGGGTTAACCCTAGCTGGACCTGGCACCCAGACCACTTCATTAAGTGCCTAGAGTGGTCCTTTAATAATCCCAGCTCAGTATTCAATGTAAGGTTGTAGTTTTTTGGGAAAGTTAAAACATTATAACAAACAACAAGAAAACACACAATAAGGAACAATATTGAGTTTCGTGCCAAGTATGAATTTTGGTACAGTTGTGAAATTGAAAATGTCGATCTGGCAACTCTGTCATATATTTCATTGAACTCTCACTTCCTTTCAGACTTTATAAGCTTGGACTTTGTCACTGGCAAAGAGAAGAGGTGTGTAAAACACTGTGAAGTCTGAGGGAGGTAGATGTTGCAAGCAAGGTGTAATATTTAGAAAATGCTGAATTCCTGAGAAATAGGATAAACCTTTAATATACCGGCATATATACTACACTGCTTCGTGTTTATTATTTAATAGCCTTGTGTAATGACCAACCTCTTTTATTTAATAACTATGAGATTATTCAATGTGTGACCCCCAGCACCTGATACATATCTTAAAGGAACAATATAGGGTCAGGAGCACAAACATGTATTCCTGACCCTATAGTGTTAAACCCACCATTTAGCTGGCTTGCCCCCTCTCAGCCCCCTTAAAAGGAATTAAAACTCACCTTATTTCAAGTGCCGCATGGGTCCGCCGGCGCTGGCCCCACCCTCGACCCGCCCCCTTGATGACATCAGCAGAAATGCTGAATTTTTTTTCCATAGCATTGGATTAGCTAAAATCAGCAAGGAGGCAGGATGGGGGCGGGGCCAAACACAGTTTTGGCCAATCAGCCCTTCTTTATAGAGATACATTGAATCAATGCATCTTTATAAGTGAAAATTTAGCGTCCCCATGCAGAGCGTGGAGACTCTGAATGGCAGTGCTGCCTACTGTGCAGTACTGAGCTAGGAAGCACCTCCAGTGACCATCTGAGGAGTGGCCACTTGGAGGTGTCCCTAGGGGCAATGTAAACACTGCCTTTTCTCTGAAAAGGCAGTGTTTGCATGAAAATGCCTGGAGGCAATGAATATACTCACCAGAACAACTACATTAAGCTGTAGTTGTTCTGGTGACTATAGTGTCCCTTTAAGGAGAACCTTCAAAACCAGTTAAAGTTATTCATGAATCTCAGCTAAAATTACACCTCACACAACAGTATAAAATGTTGTAATTCACTTCTCCGCAAGAAAAACTACAATGCTGTGCAATGCAGAGAGTCTTTCTTTTCTGGTTATTGCTTTCAAATCTCTACATAATGATGCCTCCACCTACCTATCCTCCCTAATACACAAGTATGTCTAGTCCGGGCCCCTACACTCTGCCAAAGACCTACATCTATCCTCTGTTCATACTCCTACCTCTGATGCTCGCCTTTAACACTTCTCTAGGGCTGCACTGTTCCTGTGGAACTCCCTTCCCTTCTCTGTTAGATGTCAACCCAGTCTCCACTCCTTCAAAAAAAATAATTAAAAACTCACTTTTTCACGAAAGAGTATCAATTAAACTGTTAAAAGTTCCCAATTGATTCATCTCCTGCAATTGTCATTAAGAAAACACATCGGGGCGGAGCCTGACCGCGAGACGAGCTAGACGCCATTTCTGAGAGCTCCTTCCCGGCGAGTGAAATCCGCCGTAAATCAACCATAACCAGACCCCACCCGACCTTGAAATCAGCGTGTACAGATCAGGGACATCCCGCGGCACCGACAGATGCCTTTTCAATATACCCCGAGGCACCAAACCGAAAAAGAAGACCGGGGCCTACTTCATGCCGATGCTTGCAGACCTCAAGGCACTATTTGGCGGTGCGGGCGCACATAAGGCAGCTGAGATCCCGGCTTACCCGGCAACAACTCTCCACAGCCCTACACCAGCAATGGGGAGACGCTCACAGAGGCCTCAAACGTCCCAGGCAACGGACCAGCAGGACATTGGAACTCTCCTACAACGGCAGGTACCATCCAAAATGGCGGCCGCTAACGGCCCTGATCCCCATGCAACCCCTGACATGCCTAGCCAGACAGACATCCCAGCAACACAGGGGGACCCACACTCCATGACTGGGGACATCCCTGGAGGCACAGCCCCTGCCACTAAGCAGGATCTCCACAATATGCAAAATACCTTGCTGGAAATACAGAGGCTCTTAACGGCAGACATGTCCTCCCTGAAATCTAACATGCAGCAGCTCAATGACAGGACAACTCACACTGAAGGGGACATTGGGAAACTTCAAAATGAAGTAGATGAACTGAAAACCGCAATGGTCCACTTAAAAACCACACAACAGGCTATGTCAATTCAAATGACGGCATATGAGGATAGACATCGCCGTAATAACCTAAAAATCCGCGGGATACCCCCAGAGATCGATTCAGAGGAACTACCTCACTATACAAGAAGACTGATTGCATCATTGTTACTGCCAGCGCTAGCCAAAAAATTCACTATCAGTGGACTGTACAGACTGCCCACCATCACTAAGACGGCAGCCCCAATCACTGGTGACGTCATCCTCCGATGCAATACATTACAAGATAAGGGCCAGATCATGGCAGCAGTGAGGGGTAAAACCCCATTACCATTTGAAGGATCGCACCTAACCCTCTACCAGGACCTCACTAAAACTACACTTCAATGGCGCAAATCACTGCAGTCACTCACCAGCCGCCTGCACTCCGTGGGGATAACATACAGATGGGACACGCCAAGATCCCTACTAATAGCACACAAGGTGACGACCCACAAGCTTACAACTGAATCGGAGGCACCTGCAATACTCTACACACTGGGCCTTACTGAAACGCCAACCGCAACCAATGCTCCACAAGTCGAACACACCTGAGACCCTGAATCAACGATCCCATTCGTACCGAGAACCACACCTATTACCTGACTGATCAAGAAATGGGCGCAACTATCCCACACCGAGGAACGAACGTTACCAGACCACCAAGAATATTGTTTTATATTATGCATTATACTAACCCTAACCTCTGTTCAGATTTCTCTTCACTTACTGGTTACCCCACTCATACCCGTTCTACATACTAACAGACCCAGAGAGGGGCAGTCTCAGAAGC